ATCCGGTTCTACTCCAGGCGCCGGATCTGGATCTGGTAGTGAATCTGGCTCCCCAGGTGGTGCTGGTGGAAATAATTCTCCATCAAAGACAGCTGATCTTGTGAACCAGATTGGTGATGGTCAAATTCAACAACAAGAAACTGGGTCTCCTAGCGGCCAACTTGCTGCTCAAAGTCAAACAGCTCCTGCTGGCTCTGCTGCCGCCGACAACACCGCTGCCAATGTGGCTAGTCAGGTTAATGACGGTCAAATTCAACAAACTGGTGCTGCTGATAGCAAGGCTGTCGATGAAGAAGGTACTGAAAATGGCGAAACTTGCCTTAAATCTGACTCATTGTCTGTTACCTTGAAGGATGGTGTTTTGAGAGATAGTAAGCAAAGAATCGGAGCAATTGTAGCTGGTCGTCAATTCCAATTCGATGGCCCACCACCACAAGCTGGCACAATCTATGCTGCTGGCTGGTCAATTGTCCCTAGTGACTATACCGATTCATCCTCTGGATCTAGTGAATCATCCAAGAGTAAGAGATCTGATGCTCCAGGAAAATTAGCTTTAGGAACCCAATCTACTTTTTACAAGTGTAACTCTGGTGATTTCTACAACTTATATGATCAAAGTATTGGCAGCCAATGTGAAGAAGTCGAAGTTATGGTTTTAAAAGCTTCTGAGTGTTAGAATCATGCAGTATATATTTCTTTCAGATTGATTTCTTCCGGTTATTTCGATTTTTCTAGGTCCTTTTGCATCTTTTATTTTATACCAATGTTTTTGTTATGATACCAATAAACAAAATAATATTTCATAGTATTGTAGTTTTCTTAACCTTTTAACTATATATATAATAGTCATGAACAGAATATGCTGATATTACTTTAATTCAACTATTGACTCATAGATGGTTCTATGGTCTAGCGGTATGACGTCTCTCTCACCCAGAGAAGGTCTCGAGTTCGATCCTCGATGGAATCATTTCTTTTTTTTTATTTTCCGGCCTCAATTTTTCTCTAAAGAAACGCTACTGAGTAAACATTGTTCTACTACTTGACATTATTAATTATTCTGTTTATTAAAAAAAGTCCTAACTATCTAATCCTCGTCATCACTGGTTATATTGTCATCGTCACTTTCTGATATATCTTCCTCAGGATGACTACCACTGTCTTCGTCATCATCTTCATCTTCATTACTAGGATTAACATCAGACCACTCTATATAATTCTTACCAATCAATACCTTACAGTTAGGTAATACTAGTGGATCGAAGGGAAAATATGCTTCTAAATCAAGAAACTCTTGCTTCTGTTTAAAATTACCAACCGCAGATGGAAGATTCTTGGTTCCGTTTGTTTGCAACATTCTTTCCCTTTTATTATGTTCAATGATCGAATAACAGTAACAAACATTAAGTTTGGTTGCAATCTTAGCAAAAATGTAGACAACAGTTTCATCACAAAATTTCAAAGGATTGAATTTTGCAATTATAACTCTCTGAAAAAATTTATCTAAGTCGCATTCCCATTCGGAGTCACTCGACGTGTCTGTCGAGCCAGGAACCTTATACAAAACTTTGTATCTGAAACAGAAGATGTACAAAAGCGCTTGAAATGCAGCGTAGAACAATTTAAATCTTTCCATACCACCACCCTGTTTATTATTTGTGCTTCTACCTTTGTTATCGTTATCGTAGTCTGTAATTTCACATTCTCTTTCAATTACGTATTTATTTAACCAACCGATAAGATAACTGACAACAAAGATGATTTGATGTCTTGATAAATTTTTGGCTCTGGCAATATATGATGACAAATATTGCATAGCTTTCAATCTCTTTTCTAAGATTTCAGTTGTATTGAATGCAACATCTATAAGTAAGACGAGAAACGAGTCAGCTAATTCCGGCTGATACTGGGAAATATGAAATAAAGTAAACTGTATCAGTTTAGTGAAATGCGTTGGTAATATATGCGTTTTAAATAATGATGTAATAGTGTTGAACAAATAAACCCCATTTCCGTTATTTAATTCATCCACTGTAAATGAATTTGATGTATTTGTCAATAATAAGTGTATAATAGAATCAAGCTTTCTCAGAAGCTTTCTGGTATTTACTGTTGACGTAACAGGGTCGATAATATATTCAAATTCACCTTCTGCTACCTCATCTTCATCATCACTGTTAATGTCAGAAGCATCATCTTCATTTGTATCCTCCTCGTCACTGTCGCTTTCAATGTCATCATCTTCACCATTAATTAATTCCTCAATCTCATCATCATCGAGATCATCCAACTCATTTTGTAATTCGACATCTAATTTAATACAACATTCAATGATTAATTGCCATATATCGTATTGTAATTCCAGACAATACGTCAATATTTTTATTAAATTACCAACATAATTCGTTAATTCCTCAGTACTTGAAGATAAATGATGCGGGAAGTTCTTCTGTAATGTTGCAGGAAGTGAATTAACACTTGTTGGAATGAACTTAATAATTTTGTTTAAAATGACGTGATGATTTGCGGATGGGTTCTCTTCAAGATTTATCGAAATAAACTCACTAACTAATTTAGTTGTTACTTCATGCAAATATTTAGGTAATGACGACACAAGCACAGACAAAAACTGCGAATATAAATCTATAAATGTATAATATGAGCCATCTGATTCCTTGGAAGGCTTCAATCCAAGCCAGTTATATTCAAGAATGGCAGATATTAAATTATTACATGAGCTATTATCCAATCTCGAAATATTTGATATCAACATCTTCAAAACAATGTTGAAATTAGAGATAGATATTGCTTGGTTGTGGGTTAATGGTAAACTTATCTTAGATGTTAAATTATCAACCGGTAAGGAATCATTCTAGACAAAATGTTAGTCAATCATTTTCATCTCCTCATTGTTACGATTCATAAATCAAAAATTCAAATACATACCCTATCTAATGATTCCAATGCTGACTTCACATACGTTTGGTACATCTTTTCAGAGAAGGCAGTATTATTATTTCTATCTATTGTGGCTTCATCTTCATTTTTCAGTTTTTTAGAAGCACTTCCTTCCTGACCATTAGGATTTGATAAAGATCGCTTCCTGGAAAGTGGATCATGTACGGACATTATCATTATCTATATATTCACCAATATATATTCACTATCCTCAAATATCCTAGAATCCGTCCTTTGAAATAGAATCTGTCTATTGAAATATGGGAGGGAAGAGGTCTGCAGTTTTTTATAGAGTATTAAAAAAAAAAA